CTGCGCCATGAACTGCTGGGAGAGCTGTTCATATGAGTCGATGGTGCCTGGCCTCAGCTGGCCGAACCACTCTTGCGCCGGCCCCCTGAGGGTGCTGAAGAACAATCTGCAGATGGCCTCGTCTGATGCTCCCAGCATGGATAGGTTCCCTTGGTAGCTTATCAGATGGGCCTTGGGATCGCCAGCCCCATTGTACACCAAGTTGCCCGGGGGCCTGCAATCCCGGGGAATCTCGACGCTCATCACCCGTGGAGTAAAAGGTGATGTGAGAGAGAAGGAGGGTGCGGCCGAGCCGACGTCCGCCCGCCTATTCATCTCGGCTATCTGCCTCTCCATGGCTTCCAGCCGTGCGTCCTGTGCGGCCCTTCCGGGGGACACAGGGGGCGCGGCTTCGGGGACGGCGCTCTGCTGAGCGGCCACAGCATCGCGCGGCCGCCTAAAGATCTGCGTCCCTCGCCGTTGGAAACGTCGCCCAACGGTATTGATCCTTGGGGTCTCGTCCCCCCGCGGGATCTGGCGGGGGGGCCGATGGCGTGTGAGCCCGGGACGCGGCAATGCTGGCCCTGGTTCGTCCTCCCGTTCCCTGGGAGCCGGAACCCTCGCCTAGCCGCTCGTGGACTGAGGGTCGATGATCGCTGGACCCCATCGTTTCATCATACGACTGCATGCGGCGAACGGGAGATAGGGGGGTTCGCTGGGTGCTTGCCGAGTACACTTGCTCTCGGGCTTCCCGTTCGTCTGCCAAACGGCGCATGGTGTCCGCAAGTTCCCGCATGAGGCGGGGATCCTGCCTGGCCTCAAGGGGAATGAGGTCGGTGATACCCCCGTTTCCCCCGGAGGTCCATATTGTTGCGGATCGTTCCGAGTTCTGGCCGCGATTCCGGCGGCTTGACTCCAGACGTTCGGAGAGATCACGCTGGTTGTGGCTTCCTGACATTGTGCTTGCTGTGGGTAGATTTAGTAGCTGTTTGGGAGAGTTTCTGGAACTTTTTGCTCAGTTTCCCACAGACGGCGCCAGTGTTGAGGTTTATTCCTTCAACCCTTGGACCCAACACGTAAGCCCAAAGATTTCGAGTGGAGTGAGTGTGTGGTTATCTAGCCCAACAACTATCAGATGAATCAGGAAACAAGAGTAATAGCAGGCAATGTAAATAGGTATTATTAACTTCGTAATAACTCCCCCAAGTACAATCTACTTGCTAAAAAGGGCACGTCGGCCGTTCGTCTTACAAGGCGATAGAAATGCTACTCGTAAGAAAGCTGGAGCTAGTATGCTAAGAATAGAAAGTTGCCAACCCTTTACAATGAAATAAATGCTTCTATTTATACCCGCCAATGGGCAGGTGGCTGTACTGACGTGGCAGCCTGTGGACCGCTGGTGTCCCAACTACCAAATCTTTAGCATTAAATGCACTTCCCGCCAGAATCTAGGTTTCCCGCCGGATCAGTGGGGACGTTCGTCCACCCCGGAAGTGAGTTGGATTGCTCCAAGTGACCTTTGAGGGATATCGGCTGTTCGTCGCCTGGCCTTAATAGATACTCACTATGTGCACTGGGTTTTCCCCGATGACCACAGGCTTGCTCCGGGGACGTTCGTCGCCATCCCTGCTGGCCCGTGGTTCTGCTCTTTGTCTCTGCACAGACGTTCGTCGGAATGAGCTGCTGGGCCTGAGTCCTCCAACACCAGACGTTCGTCCATCCTCAAGAGACATGGGCCTGTGGGCTGGCCTGGTTTCTAGCTGGACGTTCGTCTGGCAAAATGGGTTAGTGGGCCGGACCTCGGCTTGGGCCCTTAACCCAACAGCCATGTTATTAGAGATAGAGACATTAGGAAGCATGAGAGAAATGATATGGGCAAAGTGTTTGACTATATTTCCTCTGAGTTTGCTTTAAATGTGCTTAATTCTCTTTTAATTAAATTCTTTGTGATGTTTGGTATGCTATTTTCTTTGTGTTTTGAAAATGTGATACCAAGTGATTATGTGAGCTCCGCCTGTGCTAGTTATAGAAATTATATTGTTTCTTTTATTTTCTGTGTACTTGCTTTGTGTGGTTGTTGGATTAGTTGGAATCCCCAACTTCTCCCGGATGCTTGCTTGCGTGGTTTATTAACATGTGTTGTGTTTGTTAATAGTTTTGTGATGGTTTTGGTTCTGAACTCGAGGACCGATTGGTAGAGTTCAGTCCATCGTGAATTGGGTTTGCATGGTAAGCTTGGTCCGAAAGGGAACTTTGGTTCTCATCTATTACTTGTATGATCGGAATGATGTACTTGTAATGGTCCGGCGATGATGAGTCTCCTCACAACTTTGTATTGCTACTCTACACCACTTAGGACCAATAATGTGGATAATGTTGGAGGTATTGGCCCTACCAAGGCCTCCCTTCCATTTTATTATTGACTTGCACACCATGTTTACTCCCACTAAGGTATACCTGTTTAGGTCTTCTGTTTGTGGCCATTCATTGACTGTTGACTTACCTAATGCTTGGCCCCCTCTCTTTATGGTCCGCTGCATTCCTGTCTGTGTCTGCCCATGAGCCTTTGTCTTTGCATCACTCGTGAGTTGCCTTGATAATTGGCTGCCAACCTATTATTTATTGAGCCCTCTTCTTCCTTGAGGAGTAGCCTGCGTGAGAGATATCCTGAGAGCAGTGCTCTACCCCTTCTCCTTCCTTTGTGTGTGAGTTGAGAGAGGTACTTAGTGGATGGAGATAAAACATGGTGAGTTGTGTTGTGGTCTAGCCTAGAGTGGTGTGTGTGAGTCTAGCTAAAGGGTTGGAGACCTGAGCCGGAAGACGAATCGATCCTCAACAAAAGGGATACAAACACATAAACAAAGAATATAAACAAAAGAATCTGAAGAAAATTTGCAACCAGGCCAACAATACAAATCGTACTAGAATATAAAGCAATTGGAATACAAACACGGGGCTATTAAAATCCAGCCAACAATTCAGAAACAAAGCAAGATGCTGAAGGAAAACCAACTATGCCAATGTAGTAATGAACTCAATTTAAATGTTAAGGAAATATATAATTCATTAGAAGCGAAGAAAGAACCTACAAAATGATGCCAGGAAATCCAAAATATGCTCAATAGAAGTGCGAGATATTTAATCGTTTGAGAGCCATGACTGCTTGTCGGGCTTAGTTGAATGGAAATCCAGAAGAGGAGGGTTGTGCCACGAGAGAGCAAAAGAAGGATTAATTACTCACTAATAATTAATCTGAAACCTGTGAGATATAAAATGCGGAAGAAATATTGAGGTTTAACGGCAAATCTTACACTGTGACCCTTTACGTGTGAGAGCATATTCAATTAATAACCAAATATGCATCTTGTACAATCGAGCAAAGCAGAAAGGAGACATGAACATTTTTCTGAGGACCATTATATCCCTGACAATATTCATGCTTATATAATTGTAGAGATACCTGGAAAGGCATGCACATGCAGACACATAACTAATTATGGGCACGAATATTTCATGTAGGACATGGAACTGTTCTGTCCAGAGTTCATATTAGAACTCTCCGTAGTCCTATCAGTTTATCCACCTGCATGGTTAGTGAAAGAATAGTTCTATCTTTTGTTCCTTACGGAACTAGAGCGGTTCTGTCCGTCGTTCCACCTGCATGGTTAGTCATCAACAAAATCACATACTCAACACAACCGATAAGAAAAAATCTATGATTTTCAAGAGAAGTACTCCATTGGCAATATTTCAGCAATCAAAGTTTCATGTTTCATTTATCGATCATTTTTCACTTTAAAAAACTACGTGGTGTGTGTGTGGTATTCGCCTATTCGGTGTGAATGAGTAAATTTTCTTGGTCGATGATGTAAATTCTTGTATTGGGTTGTAATTTGAATACTGAGCACGGTGTTCTTAAATATTAGGTAGAGTAGCTAATTCATTATAAGATAAGAGATTCCAAAATCTACAATTCTAGTGTTCGAGGCATTTAAGGGAACTAATTAGTTTTGAAAATATGTGGATCAATGTTTGATACCTCGTATGTGATTTTTCCTCATTTTCATTGGAGCCAATCACTTTTTTTGGACTTGGGAGTATGACGAAATAAAGCAAAATGGTTCACTAAACAGTTTGTGCTTCTTTGTTATGAAGCAGCTGTTAGTTCAGGTAATTTTCAACGCAATTTTCAGCATGTGTCACTCAAAAACAGACTCTCTATATTTAGTACAAGGTAAGGTTGCTGACATCCGACCCCCTTACTCCACCGTAAGTGGGAGCCTTTGCGACAATGGGGTAATGTTATTGTTATAATATTTGATATGTGATATTAGGATTGGTGTGATGGTTGAAATAGCAAAGGAAAATGGTCATGGTTATTCCCAAGAAAGAAAATTCATTTAAAGTTATACTCACTCCGTCCCGAAAAGGTTTGCCAAAGTTGACTTTCACGTGAATTAATAAAGTAAAAACTGTGTGGTTGAAATTTGTGCAGAGAAGAGAGAATTAACTTTAGCCACATATTCTTTACTTTAAATGGAAATGCCAAATCTTTTTGGGACATCCAAAAAAGGAAATTTGGCAAACCTTTTTGGGACGGAGGGAGTATCTATTAGTAATATATATTCATTAAAAGTTATAACCCATAGAAGTACATGAGTACATGACTCAGTACTTGAAGTAGTTAATACATCGTGAATCTTTGCTCATCTAAGATGGTATATTGTGGTACAAGTCTAAATTTGGAAACTCTTTCTCCACTTGATTTGATCGAAGATGCATCGATTAGATATATAACAGCAAGGTTCCACATTCTTTATGGGATGGCTACATATTTGTTGGGACACACAAAAATGTATGCTTATGGTTAGAAAAATGTCTTTATAGTACCACCCAAGGCATGAGGATTTGAGAGTTGGATCATGCAAAATTTTCTTGGTTGAGACAAGTAGGATGTTGTTGAGGTACTTTTTGTCTCTATATATTATCAAGAGAAAGGTTTGAATGCTCTCCTAGTAAATCAATATCACTCATCCGGGAGGAGGTAAAAGATGAATGATCCACATATCTCTGAGAATGGAAATAAAAGGGAAGCAAATTCAACTCATTGATTCAACCAACATATATACTCCTATATATAGATACATAAAAAGACATTCACATTTATATTATACATGCAAAAATTTTTGGTCTTTTGATCGAAAAAGATTCCACGAGAGTGAGTTTTCAGGCACGGACAAGATCATTTATGTTCTTTGGAAGGCAAACAGATGTACCATTGATGCACATCGTCGCAAATGTCCTATAAAAAGCTTCAGTGGGATGATATGCATCCCAGAAATAGTGTTTGTCGACATCAGGACACGGCTTCATTTCTGGTATGCATCCTGAAGCCCCCTGCCTCCATGTTACACAACAAGGGTTGCTTGGATCTGTCAAACCTATATATACATGTGAACTCAAAAGTCATTAGTTCAAAGAAATTATAAGATACAATGACTACCAAAGCCATGTTCCTGCTAAAGGCTCAAACTAGAAACTAGTTAAAAAAATTTGAATGCATTGAAATTTTCTGATCTAGTCATGTCTGGCTTGGTCTGAACGGATCTGGTAAATGTTTGGTCTATGTGCATTTATAACTATCAAAATTTGGTATGCTCTAGTCCGGTTTTTTTAATTTTGGTATAATCTGTTTTGATCTAATCTGGAATGAGACTAAAATAGTGTAACTAAAAATATTAGGGACTGTTTGCAACTGTTTCTGCTTTAAAAAAAATCATTTTTAAATTGATTTTGGAAAAAGTGCATAATAGTAAAAGTTGGTAATGTTTGAGAAAAAATAGATTTGTTTTTGGTAAAATATGTCTTTTTTGTGTGGTAGAAAAAGTAAAAAAGCAGTTTCTAGCTTTTATTTTTTAAGTGTTCAAGTTAAGTAAAAATTGTCACTTGAAAACACTATTATCAGCTTTTTAAGCCAAAAACTGAATAAAACTTCTTCTTTTTTTAAATTTCTTGCAAACATGCCATTAGTCTCAAAGTATATTAAAATCAGTTTCCCATTTTGTTAATTTGTTGGAATAGTTGACATGAACAGAAAATGACTCACCTTTATTATTTTATTTTGTTGAGAAGGTATAATACAAATGGACATTTGAACATTTTAAAATGCTCTTGAGTTAGCTTAGTCATATGGCTCAACAATTTAAGTAGACTCAATCACTTTAATCATTTCACTCTAACTTATCAATTGCTTTAAGTGGATTGATTAGATTGCTCGTATTTCTGTAGCAATTTGAAGATATATACTCCCTACCATTATGTGTCAAAACTCAAAGCATATGCTCATTATAAATCAGCCTCATTTTATTATACTAAAATGAATATAACTACATGTTATCGTTTTTTCATTCACAAACAAATATATAATACAAGAATTGAGATTAATTAATATTTACCGTATGTAGAAGGAGTTTTGATGGCATCATAGCCAAGCCAGTGAGCACGACCGAGTACAAATTGGGAATCTTGGAGAGTTGTGCTCAAGTTTTTCAACATGGCTTCAAGCTCCTCATTAAACATCACTACAAGCTGGTTGTACTCGTCAACACATCCCTCACTTCCGTGCTTGAACAAGGGAAGGCAACCAATTGGCCCAATCTCAAATACCACAATTTTTCTAGCTCCTAATCCATATAGCTTCTGCTTACCGTGGGGTTATTAAACATAAAGTTACATTCCATCCTCCATATAGGAGACCGTTTTGTATGATGTAAAATAATTATTTGCATGTAAAATATAAGCTTTTGTAACGGTTTACACCGTTTGGTTTGATTATTAAAGCTAACTGAAATATGCTTTTTAAAATATTGCAATGTACCGTGTAAAATATATTACGTGAGGGAAGGTTAGTAGAATACTTTTCATGATTTTAATAAAGCATTGCAATCACATTGTATGTAATTTAAAATTAAATTACATACCTATCCAAACAATTTATTTTTATTTTAAATGTAAAATGATTGTTTCCCAAAACTTTCTATGCAATAAGATTTTATCATGAATACTACCAAAAGAGCCCAAGCTGGATTAAAAAGGTACATTCCAAGTTACCTGGAATTGAATTGAGAGTGTATTGACAAGAAGTTCAGCGAAGTTTCGAGGAGTGTGACTTCTACTGGTATCATAAATGCTAGGAAGAAGGTAGTTGTTGATGTAGTCGTTACTCCCTATAGCAATGAGGAAAATGGAGTTTGACAAGTAATCTGAAAGCTCCTTTGGGCTATTGTAGTATCTTGATAGTTGCATCCCCATGGTTTGGTTGAACATGTTAACTTGTTCCGATATACTCAAACATTTTCCCTGCAGTACATGTCATGTGTGTGCTAATATTTTATTATGTACCGCCTCATTGAAACTTTGTCATTTTTTTTCTATTCAATGATGGTAAACATTGAACAATGATTTTGATTAGTACTCCCTCTTTCCCACAAAACTTGGCCATATTGATTTTTATCAGTGATGGTCAAGTTTGAACATAGTACAGTTTATCAATGTTTTTAGTCCTTGCAAATATAGTACATTTTGTTTTACATCTCCTTATAATTGTTTTTGTTTTTCTTCTCTGAAATTTATGTTGATTTTCTTTTTAGTACTCCATCGCCGATGTTGACAACCTCCGTTTGACATCAAAATAACCCCTAATAGGTTTCCTCTAATTCTTTGTCATAGTATTCACAAAAGTATTTAATTGTAATTTTTAGAAAGATTTTAATATTTATTTTTAAATGTGAATAATTAGTTTTACATTTTTTAACTCTCATATTAGCATCATATTAAACACTTTTAAGTAGAATGATTTCAGAGTTAGAGATTGACTAAAAACAAAATAGTGCATATTACAGGAATGAAAAACAAACAAAAATGTATGGACCTAAAACAAAGTGTGCCATATTTGCAGCGACTAAAACCATATTTAAGCCTTATTAATATAAAAATTATTTATAATATGAAAGTTATACGGAAATACTTATGTTAAAAATGTTTTCATAATTGATAATTTGATACTACGTACTACATAGTATGCAATTTATAAATCAAACGAATATAATTATTAAAATTGTTGTTCAGAGTTCGCTATCATTGATAAAAAAAAAAGTCAAATATAATGTTATATACTCCGTATTACTTTCAATTAGTTCTTGATGATTATTTTTATATTTGTCTATTAAAAATTATTAGGCAATGTCCAAAGTAAAGAAAGAGAGTCAAATAAAGAATCAAGAGCAACACATTACGGGATCAAAGTCTTTTGCTAGACTTGCTAAAGAAGAGGTATCATGGTTCAGTTTGTATACCGTGCAACCGTCCCACCATGAGCATCATGCTCCCACTCCCAAAACGATGTAGTTTTGGACATTTAAAAAAATCGCCTGAACAGTACACACATGTACAATGACTTTTTTTGTCCCGGTAACATGAATGATGTAACTCGCGTGTAAAGATATGTAACTCGCGTTATTGATCAATGTAACTCAAGGTCATCCAAAATGTAACTTGTCATATATTGATTTCAATGTAAACAATGAAAAAAGAGAGTCTAATTGCACAATTGATTTAGGTAAAATGTGAATATGTTTTTTTTTATATCATGGCCATAAAAAATAATTTTTTAGAAAAAATCATTTTGTTGTTTCAATAGCAGGGATTGATTTTTTAATGTAACTCGTGTTATTACAAATGTAACTTGGGTGTATACAGAATGTAACTTGTTGGAAAATTGAACAATGATTTTTTTTTTGTGTTTGAGATATTATAAACATTGGTTTCAATGTAAACAATGAAAAATTGATCCTAATAGCTTAATTACTTTTTTTTTATAAATAGTGAATATGTTTTATTTTTTATATTAGGGCAATAAAAATGATATAGCTGGAGTTTATTCCGTGGTGTAACTCACATACATTAAAATGTAACTCGCGTGTATTAAGATGTAACTCGCGTACATTAAGATGTAACTTACGCAAAAGAAAATGTAATTTCATGATATATTATCACATGTAACTTCAAAAATCAAAATAAACAAACTCAATGTCTTAAAAACCTCTAAAAGATTATAAATTCGGTGGTAATTTCAATTGAAGAAAAAAGTAAAAAAGTAGTGTATAATTGGTTTTAGCAAAAGTAATGTATGATTATTAATGCATTGTACTTATTTTATGTGGATTAAGAAAAATTTGTAATAAATTTGTAAAGAAAAAAAAATTCGATTAGAATTTAATTAGTTAAAGATGAATATAAGAATAATCAAAATTAGTTTTTAATATTTAGATGGAGAGAAGAAAATAATTGAAGAAAACAATAAAGAAAAATAAAGAGATAGTGCTCCAAAAAAGATCTGGAGGCTTGAGTCTTGAAGGAAAAGAAAAGAAACGAACTTAGTGCTCCAGAGAAAAATGGAGAAAAATGATGCCGTATTTGGACCGGCATACCATGCGCATGGTATGCCGGTCATACGGTATAATATGTCATCATAGTTTGTTTTTTCAATTTTTCAAAAGAAGATTGCTTTTTCAAAGTAATTGTGGTGATCAAATATATTTTCATAAATGAGTTGAATTTTCAATATTATTTCTAATTATGTAAACCTAACTTTAATTTTTATACTTATTTATATTTAAGTATTGGCAAAGAAAACAATTGCTTTATTATAAGGATGATTTTAATAAGAATATTGAAATTTTCCGATCTCATCTTCTTTGGTCTGGGTTGTTTACGGTTGGTCTGATATGGGATCGTAACCTGCCCAATTGAGTACATAAATGGAAATTAAAGTTCTCTCAATAGAACTAAAGACGTTTTGGAATTTCAAAATAGGCTGTCATTTTTTATTCTCTAAATAGAAGTATTATTGTTAAACTTAGAATGTCATGTTTAAAGTTTGGTAATGCCAAACATGGCGCTACTCTTGTCTAAAGAATAAAAGATGACGGTTCTATTTTGAATTCACAAATGTTTGTATTCA